TTCCCAGGCATTTCAGGACATGTCGAGTCGATTTAGGGGTATCCCAGCGTCTGCCTACCTGGCTGACTGGCATGGCATGGCTCGGTCCACTTTACAACGGATTATTCGCATTGATTTGCATTTGTTCCCTGCGGACAAGTCTCGTCGATTGGAATTGGCCCAAAGAGTCATCGAAATGGCCGAAAATAAAACATGGGTCCCTCGAATATGGGCAAACCTGTATTATGATCAAAATCGGTTCACTACTTATGGTACCGCCCCAACATAAGGGATTAAAGTTTTTAACAACCAAACACTAACACAAAATCTGCTGTGAAGATGGCGATTAAGGGTCAACTCCTTCTGGTAGCTGCCTCATTAAGGATCAAAATTTTTATAAAATGTGAAATAAATCTACCTCTCTCCATTTTAGAAACCATTTAGTACTTTTTGAATAATTATAGCACAAAATATACCGACAGAGGCCTCAATAAAAAAAATTTGAGGATTCTAGCCCTATCCCAGCACCCACTACTAATTTTAGTAAAATGTAGTATTTTTCGTTTCGTTTGCAAAACCTTTCCATATTTAAATCCTAGACACCTACAGTGATCGCAATACAAAATTTCACGGTTTCAGTTCCATTCCTGCACTTAACGCCAAATTTAGTACCATTTAGTACTTTTCGTACAATTATAGTACACATTTCCGAAACTATCTCCATATGTCCAGGCTACACATGAACAGTGACCATAATACCGAATTTCAGATTTCAAGCACTATCTGCTCACCCAATACCGAATAGTACCAAATACAGTACTATTTTGTACTTTTCGTGCACTTGTATTTCTCGTTTCTAAAACCACCAATTTATCACGAAACTACCACCAACAGAGACCTAAATATCAAATTTCAGGATTTTAACTATATTCCTTCTCCGAATACCAAATTTAGTACTATTTTGTACTTTTTGTACATTTCCAAATTTACCTGGATATCTCAATTCCAGATACCAACAGAGGCCTCAATATCAAATTTGAGGATCCTAGCCCTCTCCGTTCACCCAATACCAAATATAGTACCATTAAGTACTTTCGAAATCACATTCAGGCTACACATGAACAGCGACGTTAGTACCAAATTTGAGGTTTCAAACACTACAGGGTGAGATATAAAAACTGCAACAAAGTTAAACGCCATAATTTTAATCTTTATACCCTCCACCTTGGAAAAGAGGGTATATTAACTTTGTCATTCCGTTTGTAACATCCTTAAATATTCGTCGTAGACCCCATAAAGTATATATATTCATAATCAGCATAAAATTCTAAGTCGATTTAACGATGTCCGTCTGTATGCCCGTTTGTTTGTCTGTCCGTCTGTCGGTTGAAATCACGATACAGCCCACATTATTTGACGTAGAGCGCCAAAATTTAGCAGAGCAATTTGTATTGTGTCTAGGATGGTTGGTATTGAAAATGAGATATATCGGTCCACGTTCTGGTATAGTCTCCATATAATGGTACCTCCCGATATTCCGTATTTTGATGATTTATGCCACATTTTTTCATGGACTTGTCTGAAAATTGGTATTTGTAGGTCATAACGGGTCCCTGTGCGTGTGGCAAAACATTGCATGCATAGGTCCACGTTTTGGTATAGCCCCAATATAAACGTACCTCCCGATATTCGGTATTTTGTTTACTTTTTTCCACATTTTTTCACGGATTTGTCTAAAAATTGGTATTTTTTGGTCATAATGGGTTCCAGCTCCGGTGGCGAAACATTGCATGTATGGGTCCACGTTTTGGTATAGTCCCCATATAACGGTACCTCCCATTATTCGGTATTTTGATGATTTTTGGCACATTTTTTCACGAATTTGAAAATTGGTAGTTGTAGATCATAAAAGGTCCCAGTTCGTATGGCGAGTCATTGTAATTATAGGTCCACGTTTTGGTATAGCCCCCATATATCGGAACCTCCCGATATTCGCTAATTTGATGATTTTGAAATTTGAAAATTGATATTTGTAGGTGATAATGGGTTCTAGCTCCTTTGGCGAAACATTGCATGTGTAGGTCCACGATTTGGTATAGCCCCATACAACGGTACCTGCCGATATTCGGCATTTTAATGATTTTTGCCACATTTCTTCTAATGTTTCCTTTACCCTAAGGTGGAGGGTATTAGAAGTTTGGCCCGGCCGACTTTATGTTTTTTTACTTGTTTTTTTTTTTAATTTTATTGAATGAAAGCTAAAATGTCGGAAATAGCATTCAATTTGAGAATACGTTTAGATTTGTTCGATTTGGTCATCTTTGGCATGAATTATGGCCTTCAAACGGCCAATAAAACCGTCGCACGCTGCCCGAATGTTGCTCTGCGGTATTTTGGTCCATTCCAGGCGAAGTGCTTTTTTGAGGTGATCGACACTTTGGTATTTTTTAGTGCCAACCTTGCTTTCCAAAATACTCCAGACACAATAGTCCAACGGATTGGTATCCGGGGAGATTTTGGTGGCACACAATGGTGCGCTGGAAATTAAGCGAGGAACCTCATTTTGTTAACATTATTGGATGGCGCGTGCTGATTGCGATGGTGCTGAGTCCTCTTGGATTGTCCAAGGTCTGCGGCCAAAATGTTTGCGTGCCCGAGGCTTTAATACACCCTCCAGAATATTTTCGCAATAATATTCGGCATTTATTCTGATGCCACGGTCGATTAATACGAGCGGAGAGCGACCATCGGCTGTTATGGCAGCCCATGCCATCACCATGGCCAGTGCTTGAGTCCTGGTGGCCAACCGAAAGTGCATATTTTTAGATCTCTTCAGACCTCTTTGGCAAGTAAACACGATCATTTTGTTGGTTTCCAAACTGCTGCTGGACAATGAATGTTTCCTCATCGGAGACGGAGAAAACCAAATTCGGCAGTTCACCCCTTTCGGCCAAGCGAAGCAACTCTTTAGCTCTTTTGAGTCAATTTTCATTCTGTTGCGGTGTAAGTCCTGGCACTTTTTTTCGATTTTACGAGACACAAAAGATTTATTCCTATTTAAATGCTGGAGTTCTCTAATGATAGCCTCTTGTGGTTCTCCAGCCAAATATGAAGAAATCACACCATCACGCTGGAATTCCATCGCGAATTACTTTTTTTCTGGAAAATTCTCACCGAAATGCTTTTGTACGCTTGTAAACAATATAATGAGATGTCACTGGAATAATTTTAACAGCTGTCGGACGAGTGGCTTAGAAATGACAGCAGTCTGAAGTTGGTTGCAGTTTTTTTCATCTCATTCTGTATATCGCGTAAGTGGATTAGGGTCTTGAACCCATACTTTTTCTGTAAAAAATCTGGGGTCCCGGGTCCCCCAAGAATCAGGGTAAAAAAAACCTACCACTGAAAAAATTTAAGAAAAAACCAGTAAAGAAAGTACTAAAGTCGGGCGGGGCCGACTATATGATACCCTACACCAGTGTTTATGTGAGAATTCAATCATACACGCTATGATTATAATTATAATTTAAAGTTCAATGGACTAAATATGCCGAAGGATTTGTATCTTTTAAATTCGGTTTTGTATTGCCCATTTGGTCCACAATTAATTTCAAATCGGATAAAGATATATATGGGAGCTATATCCAAATCGGAACTGATCTCGATAAAATTTGACAAAGATATTTTTGAGCTGTATTTGCTGTATATTTCCCAGAATATCGTTTGTTACGGAGTGCAGATTACGGCTGTGGGTAACAAATATAACAAATCGGATGAACAGTATATATGGGAGCTATAGCTATATCTGAAGCGATCCTCTCCAAATTTGACAAACTTGCTTCTAGACTCAATTCGGTCGCATGTGCCAAATTTCATTACATTTGGGCAAATATTAGACGTTTGGTGTACAATAAAAGGTAAATCGGACGAAGTTATATATGGGAGCTATATCCAAATCTGAACCGATCTCGATAAAATTTAGCAAAGATATTTCTGAGCTGTGTTTGATATATTTCCGCAAAATATTGTTGTTACAGAGTGCATATTACGGCTGCGGAGGACAAAAATAACAAATCGGATGAACAATATATATATGGGAGCTATAGCTATATCTGAACCGATTTCGATAAAATTTGGCATACTTATTTTCCGGCCTAATTTGGTTGTATGTGCAAAATTCCATACTATTCGGGCTGATATTACACGTTTGGTATACAAAAAAAGGCAAATCGGACGAAGATATATATGAGAGCTATATCTAAATTTTTACCGATTATCTCTGAATTCAATAGGGTTCGTCCTTGGGCCAACCAAATGATTTGTGCAAAATTTCATCTTAATTGGATAATAAATGCGACCTGCATTTTGTTCACAAGAATACATGGACAGACGGACGGACGGACAGACGGACTGGCATGCATAAATCAACTCAGAAAGTGATTCTATGGAGATCCTCAAAAGTATCTATGGGTCTATCTATCTCTTACCACTATGTGGTGTAGGGTATAATTAAGAGTTTTTACTAAACTACAGTTAAGCCTTTACAACTTTTGATATCAGATCGTACCTCAACCTTTTATTAAAAATTCCAAAATTAGCTAAATTATGCTCTACCTTATCTACAAAGTCTCTAAAATATTCCTAAAATTTCAAATATTTTTCCTGTTCCTTTGGCATGCTAAAGAAAAAAAAAAAAAAAAACAACCTCAAAGATTAGAATGTCGTCTGACGCCCTCATAACAGATTCTGATTTCAGAGGTTAACTGCTGTTGCTTTGCTTTTTTGTTGTCAGCTTTTTCTTCTTTTTTTGTGGTTTAGCATTTTATGCAAATTTCCAAGATAATCGCGGCTTAATGTCATGTAATTTTCGGTCATAATCATTTTGTAATAAACACAACACTTAAGACACACCCGGCAAATAAAATAAGGGGCAATAAAAATGTTCGCTTTAAGCTATGAGAGCAAGAGAGGTGGTAAGAGAGAGAGGGGAAGTGAGAAAAAGAATAGAAAAAAATTTTAAATTTAATATTCCGAAAAAAATTGCCTTTAATTTCATCCCAGACTATACGAAAATGCCAGGGTGACCATTACATCCTGATGCCCCTCCAGGGGACCCTTTATAAAATGGGCCACATTTGTGCTAATATCCAAACTGCTCGCCCCCTCTTTCGATTTCCATAAATTTATCTTAAAGGCCGCCTCCATGGCAGTGGTATTGAAGAGGTCAGTATGGGACACACCAAACGATATCATGTGACCCTTGGAACATCTCCAACCTAAATTTCCTCCATACCTTGCAAATTTCACATTGCGACCCAAACTGACTTCATTGTGAAAGAAATTCAAATCCATGGCTTCTTTGTCATCCTTGAAAATATTCAAACGTAGATTCTTTTGCAAATGCAGGCCCGTGGAGGCCATGTGGGCATAGGTTAGACCCAGAGACAAAGAGGAACTGGAATATTCGCCATTAACTTTATTCCGATGTAAGAAGGGTTTCAATACTCACTTTTCAATTTCACCGAAAACACCACGTATCAGCGGAGCTCCATCTAGATTTACGTTTGCAAAAAGGCCGGATAAAATGTTCAAATTTCCATGGGCCACTTTTTGGGTGATATAGCCATTGAGGTTGTTCACACCTTGACTATTGGTGGACAATGTTATGCCCATTAAAACATCAAACAAAAAACGGAAATTTTAAAATTCAAATAATTTTGAAAAAAAAAATATTAAATTTGGTGACATTCTAGTGACACCTGTTGATAGACATCAGAGATGGATATTTGTAATCGTTGATTTTTTATAACAACTCTCTATATATATAAGAAATCAACGCCCAGACAAAACGGCCGAAGCTGCAATTTTGAAATTTTGCACGAGGTTCGGTCTTGGTAGAACTTAGCCATGTGATAAGGCTAAGTTTCTGGAAATTCGTACCAAAAAGTTTAAGAAAAGTACAAAAATGTACTAAAAATTTGTATACTTTGTAGAGGACAAACGGAATGAGCTAGAATTCTGAAATTTGGAATGAGCGACACTGATGGAGTGCAGGATAGATGTAGCAAAGGGTTTTTGGAAATTAGCACTATAAGTGTACTTAAAGTACTGAAATGTACTGCATTTGGTACCATTTCGTAACATGTGAACGGTTAGAGCTAATAACCTTAAAATTAAGAATAGAAATCATGGTTGAAGAGTAGAGCCGATGTAAAGGTGAGAAAACATAGCACCCTTTTTTGACTGGCTCATGTCATCGGCTCAAAATCGAACAAAGTCAAATTGAACTGCTTTGTTTCACTTCTTTGTTCCTTTCGATGATTTAAGCCAGTCAAAGAAGATTTTTTTATGTACTCTCACCTTCAGGAGGTAATTTTGGAAGTTTGCGCTCATGTATACGAAAAGTACTAAATGGTACTAAATTTTAGTACAATTTGAATTTGGAGGAACGAATGGAGCTGGAATCCTTAAATATGAAACTTACATTATTGGCGGAGTGTAGGATTGGGATATGGAGGACGTCTTCGAAATTTACGCTTATGTGCACGAAAGGTACTAAATGGTACTAAATTTGGTACAATTTCGATTTGGGTGAACCGCTAGAACTGGAATTCTGAAATTTCGAAATAAGATTACTTTTGCATTGTAGGACTGAGGAATGTAGGTAGTTCTGGAAATTTGTACTTAGGTGTACGAAATGGTACTAAATTTGGTACAATTTATATTTTGGGAAAACAAATAGAGTTGGTATTCTGAAATTTGAAAATAAGATTTCCGTTGGACTGTATGATACAGGGGCTTTTGGAAATTCGTACTTAAGTGTACTAAATTTGGTACAATTTACATTTTAGGAGAACCAAGAAACCTTAAATTTGGAAGTAAGATTCCTTGGATTGGAAGATTGAAGATTGTATGACTGTATGATGTAGGTGGCTATAAAAATTTGTACTTAAGTGTACTAAATGGTACTAAATTTTGTACAATTTGAATTTGGCTGAACCAATAGGGCCACTATTTTTAAAATAAAAAAAAAATATACTGACGAAGGATTGGGATATTGAGGTAATTTTCGAAATTTGGCCTTATGTGCACGAAAAGTACTAAATTTGGTACAATTTCAATTTGAGTGAAGCGATAGAGCTGGAATTGTGAAATTTAGGAATGAGATTACTATTGCATTGTAGGACTAAGGAATGTAGGTAGTTTTGGAAATTCGTACTTATCTGTACTAAATGGTGCTAAGTTAGGAACAATTTAAATTTTAGGAGAACCAATAGAGCAGGTATCCTGAAATTTGGATGTAAGATTTCTATTGGCATGTATGATATATGTGGTTATGAAAAATTGTACCTAAGTGTACTAAATGGTACTAAATTTTGTACATTTTGGATTTGGCTGAACCAATAGGGCCATTATTTTGAAAATTGAAAAAAAAAAAAAATACTGACGGAGGATTGGGATATTGAGGAAATTTCCGAAATTTGCCCTTGTGTGCACAAAAAGTACTTACTGGTACTAAATTTGGTACAATTTCGATTTGGGTAGGGCAATAGGGCTGGTATTCTGAAAACTGGAAATAAAATTACTGTCGGAGTAATTCGTACTTATCTGTATTCGTACTTATCTGTACTAAATGGTACTAAGTTAGGAACAATCTAAATTTTAGGAGAACCAATAGAGCAGGTATCCTGAAATTTTGGAAGTACGATTTCCATTGGAATGTATGATGTATGTGGTTATGAAAAATTGTACCTAAGTTTACTAAATGGTACTAAATTTGGTACAATTTGGATTTGGGTGCAGCAATAGGTCTGACATTCTGAAAATTGGAAATTAGATTGCTGTCAGTGTATGGGATTGGGAGGTAGTTTTGGAAATGTGTACTTATATGTACTAAAATGTACTAAATTTGGTACAAATTGGAATTGTTGTGAACCGATGGAACTGGAAACTTGAAATTTGGAATAAAGATGTCTGTGAGAGTGTAGAAAAGCTAGGTTATGCTACTAGCTTTGGAAATTTGTGCTAACATGTACTAAAATGTACTAAATTGAGTACAATTTGAATTTGAAGAACTGATACAGCTGGAATCCGAAAATTTAGAATTAAGATTGATCTTAGAATGTAGGATTGGTTTATGTAGGAAGTTTTTGGGTATTCGTACTTATCAGTACTTTATGGTACTAAATTTGGTACAAATTGAAATTGTGGTGAACCAATGAAGCTGGAATTGTGAAAATTGGAATGAGGGTCACTGATAGAGGGCAGGGTGTTGTGTAAATTTGAATTTTAAGCTTACGAAAAGTTCTAAAAGGTACTAAACTTCTAAAATGGTACTATTTGCTGTTATGTGAACGGAAAGAGCTAAAAACTTGAAATTTTGTATAAGAATCAAGGTTGGTGGAAAATAAGTTTGATATATGAAGGTGCTTTGGGAAATGTGTACTAAGTGAGGGAACTGTACTAAATGTCACTAAATTTGGAACATTTTGGTTTAGGACGAACGGATTAAGCTGGATTTTTAAAATTTTGTATTGGGGTCCCAGTTGGTGGTAGCCTTGTGTTCAAAATGTTGTTTTGGAAATGTGCATTAAAAGTTCACGAAAAGTACTAAATAGTACTATATTTGGTACAATTTGGTATTTGGTGAGCAGTTAGTGCTTGAAATATGAAATTTGATACTGGGGTCGCTGTTTATGTGTAGCCTAGACATATGGAGGTAATTTCGGATATGTGTACTATAATTGTACAAAAAGTACTAAATGGTACGATATTTGGTATTGGGTGAAGAGATAGAGATAAAATTCGGAAATATGTACTTTAGATTACTAATGGTATCTGTTGTTTGAGATTTGCCGATGGTTTTGGAAATGTATCCGATAATTGTACAAAAAGTACTAAAAGGTACTAAATTTGATATTGCGTGAAGGGAATGGGCTGGAATTCTCTAATTTGATATTGAGCTCTCTTTTGATTGAGATATGGTTGTTGTTTTGGAAATGTGTGCTACAAGTGGTTTTAGAGATGCGTCCCATATTTGTACGAAAAGTACTAAATGCTACTGGATTTTGGTATTGGGTGAAGGGATGGAGCTGGAATCTCGAAATGTGATATTTTGGTTTCATTTGATATCTGGAATTGAGATATGGAGGTTGGTTTGGAAATGTGTACCATAATTGTACGAAAAGTACTAAATAGTACTAAATTTGATGTTGAAAATCCCGAAATTCGATATGGATGTCAATGTTGCTATCTGAGATTGAGATATGATGGCTGTATGTAGTACTAAAATTGGTATTGGACGAAGGGATAGAGCTTAAATCCCGAAATTTGATATGGGCGTAACTGTTGGTGTCTGTGTTAGGGATTTGCCGGTGGATTGAAAATGCGTCTTATATTTGTACGAAAAGTACTAAATGGTACTACATTTTGGTATTTGGTGAAGGCATAGAGCTCGAATCCTTAAGTTTGATATTGAGGTCTCTGTTGGTATCAAGGACTGAATTATGGAGGTGGTTTGGAAATGTGTATTACAATTGTACGAATAGTACCAAGTGGTACTAAATTGGGTAAAGGGATAGAGTTGGAATTCCGAAATTTGATATTCAGGTCTTTGTTGGTATCTGAAATTGAGATATGGAGGTTCTTTTGGAAAATAGTACGAAAATTGTACAATAAGTACTAAATTCGGTATTGGTAAATTAATAGAGTTGAGTTCCTGAATTTTGCCATGGATGTCACTGTTGGTGTATGTGGTTGAGAGAAGGAGCTGGCTTTGGATATGTGTAATTGTACTATATGGTACTAAAGTTGGTAACGGAGGAAATTACTGAGCTTAAATCCTGAAATTTGATATTAAGGCCACTTTTGATAACTGAGGTTGAAATATAAATAATTAGTACTTTAACTGTACTAAAAGAACTAAATGGTACAAAATTTGCTATTGGATGAAGTATAGATCTGAAATCCAGAAACTTGTCACTGTTGGTGTCTGAAGGTGAGAGAAGGAGGTGGTTTTGTTCGAAAAGTACTAAATGGTACTAATTTTGGTAGACTGTGCCACTGGTGCCTAGGATGAAGAAATATCGATTGTTTTAGATATGCACACTAAATCTTACTAAATTTAGCATTTGGTGAAGCGATAGAGCTGAAATTTGATATTGAGGTCACTCTTGGTTTCCAGGGTTTACATATGGAGCCGTTGAAATAGTTTTGGCCAGAAAAATTGGATGTAGGTTTATTGTGCAATGGTTTTTACTAATATCCTCCTTGGTAAAATATAAAATGTAAGATTTTGAGGACTTTTCGACGTAAAAGGGTAAACCACTCCCCATCAATCTTTCCAAAAAAGGAAGAACTTTAATAATATATAAAACCTTGAAAGTCTGAAAATTTAATACGATATTTGAAGTTTTGATTCTTGAACAAACATCTGACTCATCGAAGTAACGTTCTTATACCTCTTTGGACGAAAAAAAAAAAATAATAATGTTATTTATTTTAGAAAATTCACTTCTTTCGTATCTCTTCCTCTCTAACACAACTCGATCCCACTCTCTCTCTCTCTCCCTCCCTCCCCATTTACACACACTTTGGCAATTTCGCATATTTTGTGCTATTTTTCAATTAAAATCAAATTGTTTTTCTGTCTGCATATATCTTTTTTATTGTTGTTGTTGGTGTTTTTTGTTTTGTTTTGCTTTTCTTGTGTGCTTTTTCCTCCATGGTTTGTTTATTTAGGACCGAT